AGGACGCTACTAGGGGCTCCTGGCATCGCTACTAGGAGCAAGAGGACCCTACTAGGAGCAAAGGATGAGCTACTAGGAGCAAGGACGCTACTAGGGGCTCCTGGCATCGCTACTAGGAGCAAAGGGTGAGCTACTAGGAGCAAGGACGCTACTAGGGGCTCCTGGCGTCGCTACTAGGAGCAAGAGGACCCTACGAGGAGCAAAGGGCAGCAAAGGGTGAGCTACTAGCGGCTCGAAAGCGGCCCCATGTGACTGGGGGGCAAGCGCCAGGGCAGTCAAGGATCTGTCGTGTGGCTCGGTCAAGGCTCGCTGCAATTGGCGAATCTGTACTCTCGAAAGGCCAACCTCTAGAGAGGGACACCAAAGGAGCAATGCATACTGCAACACTTGCTAGGACACAAGCATGATAACTCTTCAAAGTGTGGAAAGGTGAAATATCACACTCCACTCATCATCCTGACCTCTTCCAAGTCCTCCACGAGCAAGTCTGAAATATGCGATGGCTTGGCAACACCAAGGGAGCGTAGGGCCGACAGCTGTTCCACCAGCCCTCAGAATTGAAAGTGACTCTGTAGGTTTAGTTTAGTCTGCCTATTTCGCCCCAAGTAGTACTTACAGTATATACTTCGACTTACTTACTTCTCATGAAGCGGCCTTAAAAAAAGAGGTCCTCTCAAGATGCGGTGGGTTAACTCGGTTGCGTTCTGTACGATTTCGCCATTGATGTCTCATGTCTGAAAAGGTGGGGTGTGGTCCTACGATGCTGTGGCTGGTCCGTCTGAGCTTTTGTACGTGGACAGCGTATGTTGGGGTCTTGTTGACGCCGAAGCTCCGGCTGCTTCGAGAAGATGAAGGAGTGCAGGGTCATCACTTGGTCCGTTCCGATCTTTCCACGAAGCTTTGCCCTCATTCTTCTCATTCTTCTCGTCAACAGAGTTTGGCACAGAAGCCTAGTGAAAAGAAAGCAGTTAGCATTCGTGACACCTCTCGACCTTGAATGCGCTGAGTTTACATGCACAGTTGGCTGTTGAAAGTTTTGCACATCCGCTCGGCCTGGGCAGCTGATGCGCCGCAACCCATACGCTATATGAATTCAGCAAGCATGTGGTCGAATACCCCTTGCATGTGTTGACTATCAGGTATATACGGTATATTCCTCGAGGCGGTCATAGACCTGATTTGATGTGATTCGATATCGGCCGCACTTGTTGTTTATGGGTGGTGGTGAAATGGGCACTTCTCTCTGGGCGGCTGTTGACATATACAAGGCCAAGCTGGCCGTTTTGCAAGTAAAGAGCCAGGCAAGAATGGCAGGAAATGTGGACAAGAGCTCTGCAATCTTGATGACAGCCAAGCTGACCAGCAAAAGCAATGAGCCAAAAATTAGCACATGTTCTCGTCAAAGCCCCTTCAGAACGATTCCTAGATGAATAAACTGAAACAGAAAATAGGGATCTTCCGCAAACTTCATGCGATCGTCCCTTTGCAGGCCAGCGTGGCGTCAACTTCTGCTACAGCTTTCTTCAGAATCTTTCAGAAGGGTGGGTCCAATTATAGGAGCACCAATAGTAATCCAATAGTAGTAGATTAACATAGGTTAACTATCAACAACTTGTGAAAGTCTCTGTCCCTGCCACGCCGACGGAACGTGAGGAAAGCACAAGTGCCTCTCAGTTGTCACTCATCAAGGAGTGCTGTTTCTCCTTCGTGCTTTGTTGGAATTTGGTCTAGCTAGTCATCTTCAGCGAGCTGCAAGATCGTAAGAACAACTAGTGGTCAAAGCTCAAGAACAACTAGTACTATTCTACTTCCCTTAGCGATCCCGCCTCTGCCAGTTGCCTGAGCGACAGGTCCTGCAGGACCAAGGACAGGTCCTGCCGGTCAAATGGTACAGTCGGTGCTGACTGTAGGGCATCACATGAAATCACTAATCATCATAGCTCATATGAGGTCAAGGAACTCTCAAAACTTCTTGAAATGTACCCCAAGCTTGATCTGAGCCGAGCATCCTTTCCAAGGGACTTCCAGGATGACCTTGTCAGTGTCCAGACTTCCGTCATGTGGCCAAACTTGCCTCAAGAAGGGACTGCCTTCTACCAAAGGTGGTGTAACAAAGAACACTTGACTCAGGAAACATGAGTCAAGCAAAAGGTAAGTAACAAAACATGTAACCCCCGGTATGTCATACACTCGCCTCTCGACTTGTTAAAACTACGGCATTGACAACAATGCCGAATTCAGAAAGTGCTCTGTTATATATCTTACATAAATCCACTGACAGCAGGAGCATTTCAATGACTTGTGTTGCATCACAAAACATCGACTCCACAGAAGTCAGTGAGAAGAGAGGCTTGACACTACTCGGCTTGTGGTCGTGCCCGTGTCGCAAAGTCGCTGCCAACCTAGGAAGTGGTGAGTTCGTCAAATGCTTTGCACGGAAGTTCTCGGTACTCCATCGACCAGCAATGACTGAGACTCAGGGTCAAATGGTCGTTCCGTTTTGATCTTGTGAAAACTCTGGGAGTTCGGAGCTGCGATGCAAGTCCATGTAATACATTCTGCAGAGCCTATATAGGTAACCAGAAGCAATGGCAACCCTTGCCCGTCCAGCTGTGAGTGCAACTGCGGCACTGTTGAGTACAAACTCATGCTTTCCAACTATGCTTCCTGGCCTTGCGTGCTTGCAGACCAACAAAAGGAATGTGTTCATCTGCTCAGAAGTGTATGTGAGGCCGATTGAACAATCAAAAAGCACTCAACCATTTTGGCTGAGGATCGGGTATCTCTTCCTCAGGCGCTTCTGTCTGCGACCCTGGAAGCCTTTGATGCTCACCCCTTGGCTTGTTTGCTTTTGGTCCTTGGCACGCTTCCGTCTTGCCTGTGGCATGTGCTCACAATTTGCTTAACAACATGTGACTGAAACGATCTGTGAAGTCGGGTTGCGGACAGTTCGTTCACAACCGCAATTGCACCTTGCCACAGGGAGGCTTGAGGCATTGCATTGCATGTCGTAAAAAAGGCAATAGCATAATTGAGTTCGATGCCCTGCCTTGAAACACGAAGCAGAAAGCATCATCCTCTGCAAGACGCTGCCCACTCGCCAAGCCCATCTGAATGGCACAGAATGGTTGGATTTGGGTCAAGAAGCCTGACAGCATGTGATGCAAAGAAGCAGAGTTTGACACGTAAAACGTTGCATGAATACATCGACACTTATATAGTTTTATATGTTGAATTATGTCCATATAACATTACAATATATATATATATATGTCATAACTTATGACTAATAACGTCAATATAACACGCTTTGCATTTCATGCCCTTTCCGTACCTTCTGGGAGAAGGTTCATGGCCTCAAACGCTTCGTTTGCCAAGCGTGCCCCGGTGCTGCAGGCGTTGCGGTACTCAAGCATGTAGCCCTTCAAAGACGACTGGTAAAGATACTTTTCAAGAAGCCGATCACCTGTGTAGTCCAATGCATCTGTCCTTTCAGCACACTCAAGCTCAAGCTACAGAAATTACAGAATGACAAGTCTTGAGGGTGGTGTCTTGATTTCGCGTCTTGGCCGCCAAGTTTCACATCATCGAAGGCATCGTAGTCCTCATAAATAGAACTCTTAAAGGGCTGGCCTTCACCCCAACAACTCAAAGTTCTTGATAGCGTTGGCGGAGATGCGTCACCAACTTCACTAGCGTCTGTCAGCCTGTTGGAGTCCTGGGAGTCTGTCTGACATCGAGCCGGGCTGTGTTGAAAAGCCACATGCTGCAGCAAGAAAGAGCAACGGGATCAGTCCTCTCCAACGACATCGCTGGGCCCTTTTGTTTGCAAGCCTAGAAGCTGACGAAGATCCACATCGGGCGCTGTGACCACCTTCAGGGTAGAGAGGGCATCGAACACCTGTGAGTTCATGCGGCAGAAAATCACCTCACTCAGCAAAAGCCAAAGGCTCAACTCAAAGGTTGGAAACCTGCCTTGACAGCAAGAATGGGTGTGACATGTTGCCCTTTGCTCCGTTTTGCTTTTGGTCGGACGCTGCCGGGTTCTCGCATGTTCCTTGCCGAGTGTCCTTGCAGCCATGTTCGGAGACTCGCTTGACGGCCATCCGCAACTGTTCAGCAGCCGAGGCATCGATGCTGGTGACTTTTCCAAAGCTTAAGATACAATATTCCGACATCCTGCAAGGGTTCACAGAGACACCAAGGCGGCGACACTGTCTCAACCCAAACCTGTGTGAACGGTTTACCACATAGCTAGAAACTCTGCTCACACAAATTCCAAGTACAGGCACACTGTGCATGATCTCCAC